CATTTCACCAATTCCAGTAACCTTTTTTTTTTTTTTTTTCAATGCCTTCAAGACATCTTGTAATACTTCCATTAGTACCATTGCTTGATTGATTGATTTTCTTTTTTATTGTGAATTCAGTGATAGTTTACATGGGAGAACATCGGTTTGACATTCTTCATTTCATTGCAATGATTACAATCTCCTCAATGCATCACCATTCAACAGTAATTACTTCTATTCTGTTTGTTTTTTGTTTTTGTTTTTTGAGGGATGTGCACAAAAACCACTAAGGAATACATAATCATTTAAACAACCAAAGGGCACATTTGACAAACCTACTTCCTAGGTGCAAGCACACGTCTTTTCTCTTTCCATAAATCTAGAGTCCTCAGCTATTCTATTTCTACATGTACTCATCTCTGCCTCAATCTCTGGTGTTGCTGCTTCTCTGGATAGGGCCCCACATTCTTGTGCTTTTCTCCCTTGATGGTCCTAAGGTCCTCTGTTCCTGGACTGTAAGTTTAACTACTCCCCCGTTTTGTTACAAGATTTCTTCCTTTACAGTTGTGACAGTCACAATTAGTCATAAAAACAATGACTGATTGTTCAATTCAAACAATTGAATCTTATCCCCATCACATTTCACCAGGCCTGTCTAAGAAAGATAAAAACTATTCAGTAGGGACTCTATCATCCCACACACACTCTTAAACACCCTCTTGAAAACTTGTAAGCCAGGCACTTTGTGCCTTTATCGCCCCCTCATTTTGGTTAGCCAATGTCTAAGTTGACTATGGAAGACCCTCAGAGAGATGAATTGGCAAAGTGGCAGCATCAATGGGCTCAAGCATGGCAACGATAGTGAGGTTGGCCCAGGATTGGGCAATGTTTCTTTCCGCTGTTCATAAGGTCTCTATGAGTCAGTACCAACTCGATGGCACCTAACAACAACAACAACAAGTTGCCTGTCCCTTTAAACCCTGTGTACAGAAGGGGTAGGATTGATATTTGGTGTGAAGACTCCTTTCCTTCTCAGTTTGTATTTTGAGCTACTACATTCAGAAGTATAGGTCAAGTTCAAATAATTGTAACAATCTCCACTTGTTTCCTTTATCAATATATATTTTTTTGTTTTTTATCTTCCTCTAGTTGAGTTCTGAAGACAAAGCCATCAAAGTTAGGTCAAATGAGTACTATCTACAAGTTTGGGTATTCTTATGTGTCACGCCTCCCTTCATTTCAGCTGGATGTTCTAACCCTCCATGGCTATGTCCTTGTCCATGAGCTCAGGAGTCCCCAGGTCTCGACACACTTTGGACTAACCAGAACTCCCTCTTCTCTCTCTCATTTCCAGGTCAACAGGAGTCTATGGAACGTGGTCAAACTCAGCCCATTTATTCATTGCTGCCTTTTCCCCTCTTTCACTCAGTAGTAGACCAAAGTGCTCACCATCAAGCTTACATGCTTATTCATGTGTTCCCTTTGAGTTTAAGACTTTGAGGGGGTTTTGTCCTGAAGAGACTTGATTGCTTGCCTTGATGACTTCCTGGTGAACAACATGCTTGTTCTTGTAGTAGATA